AACGCCTTTTTTTTCAAAATACAAGCCCCTCAAATTATCACACACACACACACAGAGAGAAAACCAGCTTCCCAGAGATGGAAGGGAACAGCCCCTTTTATTGTGGTGACGCGCGTTTTCACAAAGGCCTCGAAGCAAGGCACAGCACGTGTCCCGTCCCATCCCTTAAAACTGCCAACCCCGGGAAACGACGCGGCCCCGGCCCGCTCCCCTCCGGGCGGGAAGGGCGATCTGTTAGGGCTCCTACTTGATAGGCGGAATAATTAACGCCAGGTAAGCATGGGAAATTCCAAGCAAGTGACACGAGTTCCTGCCTGGGTGGCTTTTTGTCGGTTTCCATCAGCAGCCCCAGGTAACCCTGCAAGGCTGCTGACCTCTTGCCTGCAGTCACCCTTCCCCAGGGCTGGGGCCAGACAAGAAAAAGGCCCATCTCCATCCATTGGCAAGCGGCTTCACGTACAGAAAACGTCCGCACGGGCAAAAAAAATCAGACTCCAAGCCATAAGGAACTTCAGTTTAAATTGCAGGCAATGGCCAGGGTAAATCTTCCCTGTTCTTCTCTGTCCCACTTGTGAAAAACAACAGGTGGAGCACCTGTACTGGTTTAATGTTACAGGAAAATCTTACCCAGATCTAAGGCTGCCATAGAAATAACTCAAAAGTTATGATGATGGGCATGTTTATGCTAAGTATTTTCTGTATTGAGGTATCTAATTCATATCAGCCATAAAGAGCTTTTGTAGGAGACTGCGGCATTTTTTGCAGGCAGTCACTGTCCTGACGGTCCTCTTCTGCAAAAAAAGACTGTATTAAAAACCAGTCACGTCACCTAATTTTAGCACAGGTAAAAAGAGACTGCTGCTGCTTAACCGTAAAGCACGTTACAAATTTGAAGACAGTTAACATTCAGTACCAATTAGAAATAGTTAATGATTTGTAAAAACAAAGTAGCTGACAGTGAAATAACTTACAATTGGTTAAAAAAAATGGCTCACAGTGGTTTGTGTGCTTACAGATCAGTATTTTTGCATTAAATATAAGCAGAAAAAAGTACTTTTGCAGGAAAACATCTGTGACCTTCATGTTTCTATACTGTCGTATGGCTTCGGGAATAAATAGGAGTTGCATTTACTTCACAATAGTGACGTTGCAGTTGGACCAGTTACTCAACAACGTTCCTTACGTATGCAGTAATATTTACCTGCTCCTCTAGTGTCAATATTCTGTTAGTATTATAATGTATTTTGATAGCATTAAATAATAGACTTTGCACAGTTTGTTGAAGTTAAATGCCAACAAGTATTATGCTCTTGGGACTTTGTTAATTCTCATGTCTTTATGGGCGTAAATCCTGCAGTCCTTATTGTATTTATCATTAATCTCTGCTGTCCTCTACTATATTATATTTATTCAGAAACAGTCTGATACACCAGGCCAAATTTTTTAAGGTGCCTTATACTGACTTCTAAAGTGAAGTCTTGAACTTTAAGCCCAATTTATAAAACCACTGTTTTTCATTTCCAGGCTTTTCTGTGCACAGTCTCTAAACTGAGCGTGCAAATAATGCACTTTGTCCATAGATCATGATTTGATACAGATGATAATAAGCCATTATGAAAGCAAGAGATCTCATTTTAATAACTGCTTTTGAAATGTGATTCTGCCCTGCAAAATCTAAGCACATGTGAATAACCTTTGGCTGCTTTTTGCTTCAGTTAACAACTGTACTGGAAATTGTATGCAATTATTACAATATTCCACAATTATTGTAATTTATTATATAATTTCTGCACCTCAAAAGGCCTACAGAACTGGGTAACTCTGTAAGAATGGGAATGGCAGGACTCTTAATATTCTGTATTAGCCATAAATGAATGTATTTTATGGTGGGAAGTAAACCAGAAAGATGTCTAATGGTTATAGTTACTGTAAACATTCTCATCTTTCCCTTCCACAAAATAAAACAAAATAAAATAGCCATAAAGTGCTCTGGAAGGCTAAATAACCCTGAAGTGCAGAGTGGGACTGAGAAACCTGCTCCCATATTTTCCCCATTTTAAATATAGCAAAAGAGGGAAAAAAAACTAACCCCAAACCCCAGAACACTTGCTTGTCTTTAATATCTGTAAAAACTAATTAAATAATCAGTTGGCAGAGTTTGCATAGTGTGGCTTTTGAGCAACCTACTAAATTAACTATTTGGTTCTGTTTAACTACTAAAAGTTTTATTTATTTCCTGTATACTGCATGCAAATACTAAAAGCTTCCTCGAATAGCAACGTATGTACCAACCACCTAAGAGTCATACCAGTACTCCTCAAATCCATGCATTTAAAAATCATGAGCTATTCCCCTGCTAAACCACTAAGAAGAGCTAAGTTGTTAAAATAACTTTCTAGTTGGAGGTGAGTTGCTTTTGAAGCCTTTAGTGGTCACATTTTCAGACTTTTTCTATAACCATAAAAGGTAGCAAAGTTTAAGTGAAAGATTCCCCAATTTTAAACAACGAGGGCCTTTAACTCAAAAAGAAACGTGTCACTTGTCTCTCAGGAAGGGGGCTAAAACTAAAAGAGCTGGTAATACCACAACAAAGCCCATTTCACGTAGCCCTGACCCAAGAAAGTATTCACAATTAAACAGGGATTACTGGAGTAAATAAATCCTGCAGGGCTGGGCTGAAAAATGCTTCTTACTCTTCAGAGCTTTGCTGTGAGTAACCATCTTCTCTGTTTCTTTCAGTGAAAACATCTTTCACTTCTGTGCTTTTTATTTCTGTGTGTGAAGATGATTCATCTTCTGGCTTTCCTTCACCCTTACCTGTCTCTGTATCTCCTGTGATCTTGGCAGTGCTAACCTCGCCCTGCTCCAGCACCAAAGGAACTGGCACGTCTGGCAGTCCTGCTCTTGGGTTTTCTGTATCCAAAACTGGCACTTGCGTTGTGTCTGCATTTTCAGAGCTCTCAGTTCCTCCCTCCGCGTGGACAGCAGGGCTATTCCCTGCTCCTCCTTCCTCCCTGTCTAACCTTCTGCCTTCAGACACATTGCCAGCATGTTCCTCTGACTGAGATCTATCACTTTCGCAGCTTCCCGCACTCGTGTACCAAACGCTCTGCTTGATCTCCACCTCTGCCTTCGCCTCTTGAGATGTATCTGAGCTTCCCACCAGCCATTCCGCTTGTGCCGTATTGCAGGCTCCATCGGACACATTCACTAAATTCGTGCCATCTGTCCCAAAACTAGATGAAGGGGGTCGGTCCTCCTTGAACTTGGCGCACTCTGCTGCATCTTTATCCATTGTCATCTGGTTCACTTGAGTTTCTGCTGCAGCCATTTCGCTCATCTCATTCCCTTTATTGTGGTCCTGCAACTTCAGTACCTCACCTTCCCAAAGCTCCTTTAGGTTTTGTGCTGGAGTATCTGCTGGTACCTCAACCGTTACCATCAGCAAATTCCTTATCTCATTCACGTCATCAGGGGATTTACAACTCTTTTCTTCTGACTCGCTTTCTTCTGCAGGATTATCCCCAACCCCCCATTTCCCTACGTTTTCACCCCCTGTCTCAGAACTCACTCCTTGGTCATTGCTTTCTTGTTCATTATCCCCTCCAAACCCTGTTCCTACCACATTTTCACGCTGAGATAATTCTTCCATAATTTTGTTTTCTGCCTTTATCTTCTCTTCAGTATTCCCTAAAATTTCTGCTTCTGCTACATTATCACGTGAGGAAGACAGCTTTATCTCAGCAACTTCTTCCGGTGCTTTGCTTTCTTCTTCAGTGCCACCAACAACCGCAGCATTCGTTGCTGTTTGACTCTCACAAGTTAACTTTTCCTCACCTGCTCCTTCATCTACCTTAAATTCTTTTTTAGGGCTGGTGCCAAAATCTTTCAGTGCAGTTTCAGGAGCTACTTCTTCCTCCACAGCTTCTGGCTTTTTCTCAGTGTTTGCTAAAAACTCTGTTTTCACTGTGTCTTCATTCTCCAAAGTGTTTTTTTCCTCTGCAACCTCTTGTTTTGTAAGGATAGCTGAAAGGGACTCCTGTTTTCCAGTGATGTCTGTAATGACTACTTCTTTGCTTTCGCTTGCCTGATCACCAGCTGCATGAACAGGAACGACTGCCTCTTTGTCTGATGACTTTCTATCATCAGCGTCCTTCTCCCAAGAAATTTTTTCCGTCACAATGAGCGTCTCATCACTTTGAGTTTCAGTGTCTGATATCTCAGCTCGGGCAGTGGAAGGCTTCTTGGCGGGAGTGGTTTGTGCTGATCCTGAAGGGGTCTTCAGGTCTGTTAAGCTGGAGATGCTTTCACAGGGCAAATTCAGGTTGTCTTCAAAGAGGTTGTGTTTCTTCATAATGGCAGCTTCTTTTATCACTAAATAAAAGAGAAAGATCAAACTGGTTTGGACAGAGGTACCTTGAAGAAGGTACACTGTTTCCCCAAGTTTCTAACGCCATACATTCTGATACAACAGACAACAGTAATTTTCCTTCTCAACTTGCTTTTTTCAGTTTACATTTCTTGGAGGTGTGGGTGTGGTCTGTTTATCTGTTCTGAATAATAGAACTTCAATATTGACCTACGCATTGCTGTAAAAGAAAACTACCAGAGAACCTGCAACACATAAAGGTACTGTTTCGATGCAGAAGTATTTACACTGAATATATGAATAAAAGGGTGATCGCTACATTATTATACTGGTATTTTTGAACAGGACTGCCAAAAAAGGAGCTCTTAAAACTTACTGTGCAGCACAGACAGTTGTCTTTTATCTAGGGTACAGACAGATCCAGAAATATACAAGTATTTTATATATCTATGTATGCCATCAGAAATAGTTTAGTTTTCTTACACAAAACCAGAGATACCTGCAGGGAGTACAGTGCTGGCATCAAAGATGTGCAGGAAGCCCCATCCAGCAGTACATTTCATTCAGGGAAATTAATTTTTGACACCATTAGGTATCACCAAATCTTTGCAAATAAGAGCACAATTCCACTCCTTGGCCCAGGGAATAGAGATGAAATGAAGCTGGCATAATTAGATTTTGCTAGAAATAGGCTTGTGCCGAGCTATCAGTTTGAGTTTCCCAGGTTTAGTAAAGTTGCCCCATAACGCAGATTTCAGGGCTTGTCACGCATCTTTAGTGAGCTGAATCCAACCACTGTAGCATCATAACCACCAGTCTTTGTGAAGTGGGACCCAGCTCTGAAACAGCCAGGGTAGGACTCAGGGATGCTCTGGGAGTGACAGCTCACTGGCCAGTGGCTGAAATGTTACTACTGTCACCTCAAGAATGTTCTCACCTTTCAGGGTTTCTTCAAGTAGTGTCTGATACAAAATCTCTTCATACACATTCTCTACTTGGATCACATTAGTGTAATCAGCAAAAATGAACTGCTCATATTTCTGCAGCTCCTGTGCAGGTAGAGAAGAAAGGAACAGATGTCAGAGAATGAGAGATTCTGAGAGTCCTGCTTCAGCAGAGCACCTCAGAGATGCTACCTAGCGCGTTTTCCGAAGCTCCTTGCTGGCTTTTGAGTTGAACTATTTGAACTATGACTACATGAACTATGTATGTTCACAACCTATTATTAAGCACTTATCGAACAGTATTCTTGCAGTACAATTACATTTAAGAGCACTGTAGATCATTGTCATCTGCACTATAATAAACAATTCTGAAACACAGAGCCGGGGAGGAAATGCCCCACTCCCTGAGGAGGCAGATCCACGAGGAGCATGGGAGATACAAGGTTTTGTTTTCCTAACAGGTGTGTAACAGTTTTACCTTACTGATTTATACACAATAGGCTGTCTAGACAATGACTGAGTCATTATCACTAAGCAGCTGCTTGGTGGGGTTTAGAAAGTATATTAAGTCACCTCTGCCCACTTCTAGAAGAGGAACCTACATACAAACAGCTGGAGGTTTCCAAGTAAAGACCTGGCTGGGCACGTCAGCTGTGCCACACATTGGCTTCTGGAGCTGGCTGCTCGTTTCTGCAGGCACAAACACAACCGGCTTGTGGGAAGTCTGCACCACCACTGCTTCCTCTGTCCTGTATGACAGAGACACGATGTGGGACTCCACCCTCCACCTATGATGAAACACTTGCTCCTGCATGTAGGCACTACATCTTGAAGGCACTGACGCTCTACAAGAGACTGTTATTTTGAGGGTAGTAAAGAAAGTAAGAGTGACATAGAGAGCAGAGTGATTTTAAACTTGTTTTTGAAAGCTCTAAGTTTTAATAATTCATACTCAAAAATTTGCAAAATGCTTGTTTTAAACTTGTTTTTGAAACTGAAACAAGCTGGAGAGCATCAGCAAGAGCAACACACTGTGGGTAAGAGCTTACAGCCTCCAGGAACTGGTGAACATGAAGGGAAACAAGGTGGCAGAGAGTATGGGATGATTCAGGGCAGTCACCTTTCAGCAGACAGAGTGCAAATGACAGAGGATACACAGGGGGCTTCAAGAAGGGTACAGACCATTCTTTTCGAGCCAAAGTGAGAAGCATTCCAACTGGCCCCTGCTGCAGCCCCACCGATAACATCTCCACAAAACGCTGGTAGCCGCATTCGCAGAGTGCTAACCTACCCATAGGATTAAGGGCAACAGGGATCGTCACTGTATGTTTGTTTCCGGACTGTTGACGCAATTACTTCTATGTAAAATCACTGCAAGCAAGTGCAGAGCCTGTCTTCTTGCTGCCCCTGCTGCCCAAGCAGGCATTTGGCTTTGAAGGGGGTCCTTAGCAGAGGCTGTGTATGGGCACAGTCATGCCTCGGGCTGCTGCTGGAGAGAAAAGTGCCCTCTCCCACGAACTGAGTTTCAGCCTGGAGCAGGGCTGCTGAACATACAGATAAGCTCATAACTGACACTTGTAACTGTCAAGAGGAATCCAGTTTGAGAGGACTTCAGATCTCTAGGGAAGACATGAAACGGGGATGGGCAAGGCTCTGCCACTCTCTTTGAGAAAGCAAGCTGTATAGACGGTTTCCCTGAAGTCTACCTTATGCTCTGCATCTACCCACTCCACAAAAGGGTCAATCTAAGCGTCAGATGGTCAAGCAGGCAGCTGATCAGCACAACCCTCCAAGAGAAAACAGTTCTACAGAGTTGAGGATTTACTGCCAAGGTGTTAATCCTTCCCTGCCTTTTATTACTGTTTTTTGTGGGTTTTGGTTGCTTGGTTTTTTTTAAATTCTAGAAACCTACTGGTTTGCACGTTGAAGCCAGTGTCTTCTGCATTGTGGGCAAAGTAATCTGTACCAGTGCTTCTTGAAAAATCTTCTTCCGGATAGTGCTGCTGTCATAATCGTATTGCTGTCAAAACAGACAAAAAGAGAAACAAGCTCAAACATGTTTTGAGTTATTAATCACGCCTAGGAGGAACTGGTTCTTGTTATCCCGGAACTGGTGATGGGCGAATCCCAAAGGACACCACGTCACTGGTGCACTCAGGGGTTTGAATTCCCATGCAGCTTATTCTAGCTTTTACAAGAATACTCTGAAATACAGTTTTCTGGGATCTCTTTCATTTTTTAAACTTAGGCTAGAAACAGCCTCCTGATTGCTTTCTCCAGGTATTTCAGCATCACCTCTTCCAAGGGTAAGAAATTCTAGGGGCAGGCTAATTATAAAGCTAATAAAAAAATATTTAATCAGATCCACAGCATCTTATCTAGCTGATTTAACTGCAATTAAGGGGGCTGCACATGTAAATACTTCTACAAGTGTCTGCCCAGAGCTGGGCTTAACCACGCAAATGAGCAGCTTTGCTAAGTGCCAACAAATCAGTACTTCCCGATGGATTAAGAGATATCTTCTTTCAAATACTGAGATAAATTTTCAGAAAATACATTCTCCATTTCCAGAAAAGGCAGAACCCTAGGTCTTAACATGCAAATGCTGCTATCTTACATTTACCTTCAGGACTCTCTGCTTGACTTTTTCAATGGCTGTTGCAACTTTTGCTGAGTCTGCCTGGCGACTTGGAGAGAACAACTGTTCAAAAGTATAAACCGCATTTTCCATCAGCTAAAAGTAATAGTTAAAAAAAATCTGTTAAAGACCAGTAATATAAAATTCCTACATATAAAAAGAAGCATAATAAATGTAACCATTAACATAAACTGTATTTTTCAGAAGGTGAAATGGAGAAAGAATAATGGGCCTAAAATCAAGAAGTATGTCAAGTACTTTAAGTGATTGTGAAAGGGGCAGAAAAGCCTTGTTTACTTGCAACACTCAGTTTTGGAATGGGAAACCTGAAAGAAAATTACCTAATGCAAGAGTATAAGAAAATGAAACTACCTCCACTTCTATCTTGAGTTTACAGGCAGGTCAATACTAGGAACTCTGCTACGGTAACTAAGCAAACAGATATATCGGCAAACCTATTCAGAATAAATTGATTTATATCGTCCAAAAATTTTCTGCTGTATTCAGCTCTCTGAAGGCTAAAGTGCACAGAAATGTTGCAATAAATAAAGAAAATTAAGCCTTCTATTGTTATTATGCTATTATAGCTTTCTTGTATGGATTTAATCTCCTGTCACCATCCAAACTTGTGGTGACAAACACAAAAAGTATAATCAATCATCTATATATAAAAAGCCATAGACAAAACACATTATCCCTAAAAAGAAGACTCCTGTTGACTCAAACCAGATTCTAATAGTCTTAATCATTAATACTGCAGTTAATGTTTTTTTTAGAAAATAAGTATGTACATATTTATGCATGAGATATGCTTTTAATCCCTCCTTGGCTACTCATATTTTCATGAATGAAAATATGCAGTGACAAATGTTGAAGGCCAATTTTGATTTTTGCCTTTGTAGATAACATAGAATTGGACTATAAAACTGCATTTATAAATGAATATAAATGAATATAAACAAAGCAGAGCGAGGTTTACTCAATTTGGGTGCACACCAGGAGGCTGTTTAGTAAATGCTCACACACTGCCAGACGCTGGATACAAGAAAAAGATAAGATCGGTGGAGAGTTAAGTCTGAGGCTAATTAAAAGACCAACTACTTGCTTTTTATTTGAAACCAGTCATAAACTGGCATAGTTCTGGCAAAATCACGGAAGCTGCTTTATTTATGCCAGCTGAGCATTGTGCTCCCAAATTTCCTTATGCTGGCCACTAGAGGATGCCAAGCTCCCAAGCCAAGGGATCCTGCTCCAGCCTCCAGCCGAGTTAGAGTTAAGCCAAATGCTCCTTTTAGGACCACTCGAGCACAGGCATGTCTGACCTTGCTCCTTAATAAAATAAATGCCCATGGACACAAAGTGAAACTATTTTCTATTTTTATGAGAAAAATACCAGCCTTTTTGAAGAGAGAGGAGCCATAACAGCACTTTTAGAACAATCTGTGCTTTAATTTAACTTCTTGGGAATTTTGATGCATGTTCTGTTCAGAAAAGAACACCGCTTGGTTTGTATGGGGTCTATTTTCTGTCTGCTTCTTTGTCTTCACTCATGGTCTTCACTTATTGAAAGACATCTCATTTGGCAGCATTTTGAAACAGTGCCCCCTGAAAGACCCAGACATGAAATCAGAATTTTATTTCTGAATCATTCTTTGGCTGCTGAACATGGCTGTACTTAGAAGAGCTGCTTTTAGGAAAGCCCTGTCCCAGCACTGCACTAGGGACTCACTTTCCATATTCATAACTCGCACTCCATAGAACTGGACGAGCTCCATTTCCCAAGATTACTGATCGGATTATTTAGTTTCCCAATTACAGATTAAAATCACAGGATTCAATGCAGAGGTACAAGGCCAGACGTGCCTTGTGATCTGGCAGTCGAAAGAAGTCTACTGGCCAGCTCCTAATAGATTTCTGGCCAGGCATCCAGAAGGAAAAAAAAAAGCGAAGCAAAATTACAGCCTATACCAATACTCACTAGAGGGGAAAAAGAGGTGGAGCTGATTTTTTGTTTGAAATGTGGTCACTTCAGCCATTTCCACAAAAAATGAAGTCATTTAAAGCACCTACATGAGGTAGGTGCCACATCCTGAGATGTCATCTGCGTCCAAGTAATCGGCAGTTTCTAACATTAATTGCATTACTTTATACTAATGAGAAAATAAACTACCACGGAGGAGACATTCTGGTTTGAGAAAACGTATTTAAGACCCTTCCTAAAAATTCAAGCCTTGAGAATGGAAATTAGGTAGATTTTAGCCACCCCACGAGTTACAAGCATGACTTTCTCATGTGATGAGACACTGAGAATTCAGAACATGAAAGTTCAGGGGAAGAGATGATCCATCCAAACTTTTCTGCCCTGCTGAAAGGCTCACACACATGCAATCTCACAAATAGAAATGTCAAATAGCTTCTAGGTATGATTTTCTTAGGTTTTGTTCTCTGTGCTTTGATTGAGAGTTGTTCTGGGACTCTCACACAGCTTTTTATCAAGATTACTTTTGAAGCAGGTTAGGAGGACAAACCTAACCTGTTCTCCCAGGAGGAAAAACTGGATCTTACAGTACCTCTTGCATGAAGTTTTGTGTCCTCTGAATCACAAAATCCATGTGATAGACCTTGAAGCGACTCTTGAGGTCTTGAAGAAGCTCCTGGAGGAGGTTCACTTTCTGATAGCAGGGCTCCATTTTCATGGAGTTGAATGGTAGGTTCATAAGCTGATCCACGTTCTGCATTCCAGTGGAGGAAGAACAGGTTTCGAGAAGAAGAGGTGAATTTTCAACAGAGAATGTAACAGTGGCCCTAAAACGTTCTGATATCTACAGTCTAGTTGCACAAATACCCTAAGACTTTGTAAATGGCAAAACCAAGCACTAACATACTGCCACCTAGGAAAGCAAATACTGCTGTCGGTAAAGTTCCAGCTAGGAGCCTTGTGCTAATACAAACGGCTCCAAAGAGATTTTTGTCTTACCTCCTTTAGCTTCGTGATATCATTTGTCTTCTGGAAGTCCTGGATGATTTCATTAACTTCTTTATCAAAAAGTGATCGGACTTCAGTGAATCCAGAACTCACCGGACCCATGAGCTCCTCTAATATGGAGGTGAGAAAAGGCTGGATATTTTCTGTGCAGCACTTCTGGGCAGGCTCAGAAACAGTGGCTGGAGTGTCAGAGAGTACAACGGTTACATTTAGGCTACTAAGAGATATAGTGGGAAAAAAACCCATCTGAACCGATTTACTTTATTTACTTTACTTTTCTAGAGTCACACTTCTGCAAAGATGACAAGGGTGATAAGAGTTTATAGTTTTATCAGGGACAATGAAATATCTTTCTACCCATGTCCCACCTAACTGAGCGCCAGCAGCTCAGGGGCACTGCGAGAGCAGAGGAAAGGGCAGCTCCAAGGACTGATACACACTGCAAGGTTTGCACAAAGTGTGGCCACAGTGACCCTACAACGAGGCATCCAAACTTGGGACTTTGCAGTTCACTGAAGCATCCTAGTCTGCTATATGAGAATATCAACAGGACATCCCAAGTTTTATCAAGACAGCTCCTAAATCATCACCTATTTATTATTTGCTAGCTTAAGCAGCTTAAGCCTGCTTTTTTACGTTCTTTTTTATATTCACAGCAAAACTGTAGTTACTTCATATTAGTCTGAAACCACCAAAGAAGCCCTTTAGTTTAAGTAGCCTTCGGTAGCCTATGAATTTGTCACATAACCTGTTCTGGTGGTCAAAACCACTATAACCAGGATACTAAAGACCTGGCAGCAGTAGCTCCAGCTTGAGAAGACCTGGTATTTTCACAGCTACAGCAGCCACAGGTTCCCATCAAAGGAAGCAGAGGTTCAAAGCCTCTGTTTTCTGAAAATTAGTGTCTCCAGTTGGATTTCTCAAAACAGATCAGGATTTCAAAACAATGACATCTGGTTATTAGAGCAACACAATGGGAAACATTAAAAAATTGCTCCAAACCACAGCTGTTCCTCCACTAACCTTTGATTTTTCCAGCTAGGAAGTTCTTGGAGGTCAGAATCTGATCCATGTCTGAACGAATGGTTCCTTCAAGGGTTTTTGCAAAATCTCTGCATTCTTCTTTCAAGGTACTTAATCCTTCTGACACCTGCTGCTGGACTAAGCTGTAAGTTTCTTCTACGATCTAAACCCAAATTAAATTAAGAAGCATAGATCAGAATCAGCACACACAGACAACTGCTGTGAGAAACGACTACTCTAAATATCAGTACTTACACCAAACCAGGCTCGCTTCCTATCATTCCTCTTTCCTTTCATTTTAGGCAGGATCATCGTCTGAAGATTAGGCAGGAGATCCTCCATCACGAGGTTGCTTAGGATCTACATGGTCAGAAGATTAAAATGACATGTTCACACACTGTTCTTCATCTGAAACCGAGCACTCACATCACAGAGTGATACGCAAAACTTCAAATACACACTGGCTTAGCTATCCCAGGTTGCCAGGAGGACTGGATTTAAAATATTAGGCATGTCTGAGGGAAGCTTCATGCATTTCATCTGAAGCATTTTTCACTGAAAGACTTTGAGAGACCGTGCAACAGTTGACAACAGATGAGCTAAGATGCTGAACTAAGACACCCGTTAAAATTTATTGTGTGATTATTACAAAATCGCCATGTGCAAATCAATGGAGCTAAAACGATTGGAATCAACTGAGCAACTCGATCAAAAACATTCCAGAAGTCAGTTTGCTGACTGCTGCTTCCCCAAACTGATCGTGCTTTGGGACACTCACACTCTCCCGAAAGAGGTATCATCAAAGAGAAATTGTTCCATCAGACAAAAGATGCTTCTGATAGGAAGGTAATTGGCCAAGAAAAAAAAGATGTGACTGCACCAGTGTGGATCTGTAGCACTTTTTTGGGTGAGCACCAACTTCACTATTTTAGTCAAACAAGAAAATAAGGAGATCCCAGGAAAAACAAATCAAATGATGCTACCCTATCTGATTTTCCCCCCGCAATGTGTAACATGATCCAAAAGATTAATTAGCTGCAGCCTAATCCTGAGGCAAAACGGATGAAATAAATAGCTGTCAGAGTTTGTGAAAAATTCTCCAGGCAATTACTTTTGTTAGTAAAAGACAGCTACACTGGTCTAAAGCCAGTAAAACTTTCACATATACGTTAAAGTCTCCTCCCAATACATCCAGATTCTTGAACAAAAAATATATAAAATATATAACCTAAGAAGATATTCTGTGACAAAGGTGCAGAACAGCAGAAAGGGAGGGGGAAGTGTCTAAGAGACTTCTACACATCAAGTGTTTGTGATGGAATGTAGGCACACTGAGAAAAAGGTGTCATTGTTCAATTTTTTAATTATTTCAGTAAGTGTATGGTCGGCATATCCTTGCTGTCTTTTTCTGAATTGACACTGAGTACTTTTCTCTGGTTTTCCTTTGAAACAGGGTTCACTGGTTGTAGAAGAGAGGCATCACCCACACTAATCCCAACATCTAAGTGGCAATTCCATCTTGCAGATGCAAAGACATCCAACTGGGAATGCGGACGATACCGATTTTGGGAAGCCGTCAATACACCAGCAAGCCAGGTTGCTATTCAGAGAGACCTGCACAAGTCCTAAAGTTGGCTCTGCTTTGAGCGGAGAATCCCCTTTTAGTCACATTATTCTCCGGTTCCATAGTTCTCTCAATAGCATAACCCAGCTTTGAACAGAAGCAGCAGCAAAGTCTGGCTTCTTCAACACAGAAAGAATGAAACGTCAAGACAGATTCCTGGGTTCATTCACTGGCACCCACTTCTTCAGAATCACCCACTCTGTGAGGCTTTGCACCTCTCCTGCCTAGATTTGAACTACAACTGCTTTCTTGTCCATCCCACTCACACGTGCCAGGCTGGCAATAAACACACAGAGTTACAGGTAGGCATCTGATCTTCAGTGTCTTTAATTTATGGACACTGTATCTCTGGCCTGAAAAAGCCGCAAGACCTTTCTTTCTCTGTGTTTTTCTGATGACCAACAAGGCAAACTATGCGAGCAGAGGGAAGCAGATGGGAGCTGCCCTGTTTCTATTTCTTTGTCATCTCAGGTCTCTGAACATGTTGCCCCATGGAGGTGTCCATCAGTGCTGGGGATATATGCTGGATTCTTGAATTTCTCTACTTAAAGCATCTTGATTTTGAACTAAAGGCCTCAATCATGTCTCTGGGTGAGTCATGACTCATTCTCATGATTCAGAGGAGGGAGGGACATCTTTTATTTCTGGACATGTTCATTTTTGGCTCACAGGACTTGCCCAGGTGTGCTTGTACTGGCCCACAGTTATAGATGCACAGCTGCCAACTTATGATAACAGAGGCAATCCTATCACACCTGTGCTACGCCAAATGACACATAACCCTTTCACCAAGGCTTTTTATCTGTCCCGACTGTACAGCATATACAAGGTTGTCCACAGCCTCTTGAAACCTTTGAAGTGCAGTGGATAGCCTGCAAATCACAGAGAGACACAGTAACTCTTCAAAAAAGCAGACAAAATGCATCTTCTGTACATTTCTCATTTACTCTGGGTAAAGGAGTACCAGCTCACTCAATGGTTTCAGCCAAGTCTCACAAACAAAGCACGTAGCAGCCCTCCTTCCCTCCACTGGGGCTCGAACAGAGTTTTTGCTAAGCGATGCGGTTTTGAACCCAGCTCTTCTTGCTCTAACAACAGCCCAGCACAGTCCTCACTCAGGGATCACTGCTCCCAGCTACTGCCTGAGCCATGACAGCGTGTGAAAACTCTGCTCCACTTTACATTTAGCTTGGAGTTCCGGTGCTTCGTGACATTCAGACTCACGTTGTGACGGATACCCAAGCGCATTCAAGGCATGCACCGACAAATCGATGGGGAAACGGCAGGATTTAGACAGAAGTAAGTTAAAAAATGGCTCTGACTGCATGTCACAGCACAGAAGAGCATCTCTGGGGCACAAGACAGCCCCTAGAGAAATATAACACACGATACACTACTTATTAATATACGTCTAATGTACCTATAATAGGCAATACCCTATTATTGTTGTTTCATGTAACTTAAGTACTTATAGATTTACGCACACCACCACTTTGGATTCACCTATGCTGACTCAAATACCCGTCAAAACCAACAGACTAAGTCAGGCCCTAAACTAGTGGGTAATTTATAAAAAAAATCTCACAGAAACCCCAAACAGGAGCACCACAGATCAAATAATAAATATGACAACAGATCAAACATATTCAGAAGAATCTGAGCTCCCTGCAAACATTTTCAGGGATCCTGAATTCGCTTTGTATTTCTTTATTGAAAGGTGCACTGTAGGGATCTGGGTTTTTTTAATCCTTTCTTCAGGTACCCTTGATTTACCAATATGTTGTTCACCAACACGTTATTTCTGCATTCACGTAGTGCTGATCAACAGAGCTACGCTAGGATAACATTGCTGCGCGGCAGTGCTCTCACTGTGCAGCTGTACCGTTGCTTATAACAAGCGTTGTTATAAAAATGTCCTGGGTTTAACCCTGTATTTCGGCACTTAACCTACAGAAATACAACATACAATTGAATTTATCCTTTGTTAGCAATGAAACCTCAAAACCAAAAAAATATCAAAAACCAAAGCCAGGAAAATGAACTTTTACAACACAAAATTTAGTAAGTCTTCAGCTGCCTGGCTGGGTACTCATTAATATTACAGCTGTGCCACGGCACCCAGGCAGAACCGTGTGAGCTAATGCTGCGGAGACTCCGTCACTATGAATGAATGTCAGGGAACTTAGTTATTGGCATTCTGCAGAGATTTTTTACAGCAACAAATTGCAGATTACTTGTTCCAAATCCTTCATTTGGCTTGGATATTTGCCTAAAATAATTATTATATTTGGTCAAAGCAGGCATGAGCACACACTATACTTACAGAATGAATTATTACAGAGAAGATGATAGCACAACTAGTCTGCATGTCTTCTGATTACAGTTCTCTTGAGGTGTATGGGTTATGAGTAACAAGTTGGCAAGCAACAGGAAAAACAAAATATAAAATGAAACTAGCACTATAATAGCTCAATAACTTGAGGGAGGAAGAGAAGAGAAAAACCCTCACTCCCTCCGCTGGAAGGATGTAACTCCTTATGTTAAGGAATTTATTATCAGATGTTAGCAGGAAACTTCAGTATCTGACATGATGGCACTAGGAAAGACACTGTTTACAGATTCTTCCCTGGTTTCCACATTTTTCAGCATCTCAAAAAATAATCTGGTTTCTTAAAACAAAACACTGGATCATGAACTCTTCATTGGGCTTTTCTCCATTTTCCCAAAGGGAAACCTGATTTCGTCAAGGAAAACACCCAGCAGATGGTAGGAAAGTAAATACTTGCTGCTAAGTGCTCAGTGCTTTGGAAAAGAATTATAAATCAGTGCCCAAATAATGTCTTGCTTGCACTTAGAAAGGTCTGGAGTGATGCCAGAGAGATCAGTGGGGTTACTTCAGTTACCATTGGTGCTCCAAAGCTGCTCACCCAGGTGCCCAAATATGGACCCAGACCCTGAGCTTAGCATCCCATTTCTAAAGAACTGAAATATACAAATTTTTGGTGTTCCAGGCCGACTGTTACTATGTCAGGCTCTGTTTCAGACATCTGGCACAATAAGTAGGTCTACCAGTTTGTGCTCTCAGGACTAAAAGCTTCATTCCCAAAGAAAGGGGGAAAGCAAAATGAAGATGTCCTTCAGAATTTATGTTTAGCTGCTCTTAAGCCTGATCTCCTGTGATGGCACCTGGGGGCATTAGAGGACAAGCAACAGGAAACTGTTGTGGTTAGTAACAAAGGTGAGATGCTCTTTCGACGTCCCTTCCAACGCCTAACATTCTGTGATTCAGTGAAAGGTGATGGCATAAGGAAAAAAAAAATCTCTCTTACCTGCAAAATAGCTGTCACGAAAGGTAGAAAACCAGAGCAGAGCCCAAAACAGCTGACAGTGAGTGTCTGCTGCCTACAAACTGTGGGTTCTGAGTTTGGCGTGCATCGTTTTTGGTCTCACTGATTTATTAAAACTATAAACAGCAGAAAACGTGGCAGCAAGACGTTAGCAAGTGTCTCGTTTTAGACACAGCATGTATTTACTAATTGACCCCATGGCATAAAATTCAAGTAGGAGTATGAGCTGTGGAAATGTGGCGGTCCCTATACTCCAGCACAACTCAAGAGCTTTAGTTCCCAGCACGCTTGCTTTCATCTTAGAGCAAAAAACTGAAAATGTGGTTTATTAAAAAAGAACTATCACTCACAGGTAAGTAGTAAGTATCTTGAAATCTTGCGCATTTCTATCTACTAGATTTTCCTTTCTGAAATGCTGTTTTCTCCCAAGAGGCTTTTTACAGCTTTCACTATCCTCAGAGCTGCCTTATCCAAAATTTAAAAAGAAATCAGGAAGATATTCTTTTACCTCTTTTTCATTGCCTGTGATCATCTCCCAGGTCCCATAGTGGCCTTTCTCCTGCCGGAAGAACTGGATGGCTTCTAAGAATGCTTCAACTTCATACGTGGTCTGCTTGAGAAAATCTAAAGAAAACAAAAAAGTACAACAGATGATTTACCCATAAATAATGATTTTTAAACAACCATCCTTTTTTGATCCGTTTTCCTGTTCCACGTGCATCTAGCTGTAATATTATATACTAAACGTGAATGTATGAAGGCCTTGGGCTTTCATTAAGATTTAGAAGAGTAATGTTGAACTATTCCATTACATGTATGAACTCTCATAACCATCCTCTCTAAGGTGATACACCAATACCAGCAAATGTTAACATGGAGCACACGGTAAGGTAAGATTTCCAGCAGCAAGCCTTCGCTGCGGTAGACTTTGACAAGGCAGTCATTAACACGTGAAAGCTCATCCCTTAGCTTTATATCTCCGAGTTGGGAGATTCTGCCTCTTTTAATTAAGATAAGAGTTAAGAATTTAAGATAGTCAGCTGACTGTGGCATGTTGAACGCCCTTGATAAATTGCTAAACCCCAAGTTAAACTCCTCAATTTTTTTTTCTTTTGTTAAGGAATTGATTATCAAGATGATTTTTCACGGACATACAAGAAAACAGACTCAGACAAAGTAAGCACTATGCTCACACAAATTAAGCACGTAAACTTCTGACAAAATCATGCTGCTTTCCCTAAATATCTCAGGAATGTTCAACCACAGCTCCAGAGTATCTGGTTATTGTCCATGGGTACCGCTGCTAGATGGGAGCTCTTCCCAAGAAAAACGTGGTAGCCTGGGGACACTTTGTTGTACAAATGAGACCACAGCATGGAAAAATCTGAGAAGCAGCTGAGCTGGTTTGCTCTTACAAACTCCGGATAACCAGTCGTGCAACAGAAATAAGATTTCATGCAACGTGTCCCTTCCAAACTGCCAAAGGCTTTCAAGAGAGTTGCAGCCAACGCTCTCCTTCACATGAGATCACACAAAGACATTGCTAATTAAGATGCAGCTAATTAAGACGGCAAGGGCATTTCCACAGCAGAACTAATTTGTCATTATGTGGGGAGAAACAGCCCCTCTCCCTCAAAATGCAGGAAAGCTCCCCAGAGCAATCCGGCTGCTTGACAAACGTGAGTAAGAGAAAAACTGCCACTGAAACACTTTAGGAGTTCAAGTGCTGTGTCTTTGCTATGAAACAGAGCTGCAGGATGATTGTGAAGATTATTATCTTGAGGGAAAAACAAAGCCATGCTGGTTTATTGACCCCTCTTCAGGGTTATCTACTTGCACCTTTGATCCGCTGAAGTCCTGTTGTGCACAGGTTAGGAAGAAAGGAGGGCAGAAGAATGTTAATTACCTCAAAGGTAACTATGTTGCTCTGAAAGATACTGATATGTTTAAACAATTGTAATGTGAAGAGCTGGAGAGTAAGTTCTCAAGTCTTGCCTGTGAAGCAAGACGCTTCTTTTGACTTGTTCACAGAAACTTCTAAAGAGAGGAGCTTTACAGGAGGCTTACATACATGCCAAGGGCAACACAGGGATTATGCAAATTACGGGAAAAACAAAGGATTACAGTAATGCCTGAAATGTCTCCTCTGTGCGCTTTACACAAAACCAAAAGCTACAGAAACCTACAATTAATTTCATCAATGTGTCACCCTGGTTACTGCTCGAGAACAGCACTGTCCAGATTTTATCTGCGTGGCAGGCAATGACGTTTCAGATCTGCGGAAAGCCCAAATGTCAGAATTTGCTCTTTCAGAGTTTCCCCTGGGTGCAAAAATCACTTCAAGAATGTATGTTATACATGCTGAGGTGCAGTAAACACTCAGTGCCACTCTACAGATAGTGTCCCTGTCTTGCAGATACTTGGGGGTCCACAGAGATCACACCATTTCTTCAAGCTCACACCATGAACAAACAAGAGAAAACCAGTCAGATAAAACCTCAACCATACCTTCACCGCTATCTCCATGATTTATAGCATTTTTAATTGCAAGTCACAAACCAGGATGATAAAATATCAGTACAGGAGTTGTAAGTTTGGCTGTTCGCTGCCAAGAGAACATCTTCTGATGCAGCTTTAATGTAAGAATGGAGTACGCCACCTGAGAAACCGGCAGAGCCTTGCACCTGAAAGCTTTCGTCCTCCCAAAATTAAACTGAGTATCTTGACAAGAAGAGGGCCAGGCTTGGCTGGAGGAAGGGAGAACTGCAGCTCCCGCAGCCCTCCGAAGCGTGACTCACATGTTTTCCTTCTTCACAGCTGTGCTCCCTCCTAACCAAAAGGGACAACAGACCATCCAAAGGGCTGGATCTTGGACCTGCTGAGATGATGATGTGCCAGCACTGACAAGAGTCTGCCCTTTAAGATCATCAGGTTTTAAAATCCACGCTCAAGGGAACATTTTCTCTCTGTTCTGACTCTTCCCAGTCCCACAGAGAAGTGGGAACAAGGTGCTAAAACCCAAGAGCAACGCATTTGAATAGTTCCTGGGAAAAATATCGAGAAGCACCATAAAATCCCAATCACACATTCTTTCCTATGCCAGTAAACATCAGAGAAAAACCCAATTATGGCAGTCTTATTACAAAAAAATCTCCAAGTAGAAAGGAAGCTTTATCTTTCAAGGCTGCTACAATTGCTTAATTTAGGCAATTTCTTTCTCACTTTCCACAGGAGGAAAAGATTGCATCAGTGATAATGCACCAAACAACTAGATCCATCCAGTGTTGGGCTGTGCAGAAGCTGTTGGCGAGGCACATGAGACAGAGGCACATTCATGGGATATGGCTCAAGAAAAGGGAATTGTACCTGAGCTGAAAGGAGCTGCAGTGCACATCCTCCAAGATTTCAGCAGGGAAGAGCCAGGGCTTCTGTAAAGCAGATCTAGCAGTTTATGAAAAAAGCTAGAGGGCTGTGGCTGGCTTGGCAGCCAGCACCGTTGTGCCACAACGAAGCAAGGAAAACAATGAACAAGCTGTTGGGGTAGCCCTGCTTGCGTGCGAGAGAGAGGACGGTGCGTGGGAGATGGAGGCAGATGCTGCAGCTGCAAACAGGGCAGGTGGTAAATCCCAGTGGTGTCAGGAACGATTGTTCAGCAGCAGCAAGGACGACGTGTGCTTCGCTCCCCTGAACGCCCGCGCAGGGGGTGCCCCTGCAACAGATGGGGCTGGCACCTCTTGAGAGGGATGCATCTGTCCCCGTTGTCGTCGGCAAATGGAGAATGTCAGGGGAGCTTGGTGTGTTGGGGGTTGTAGGGCATCCTTATCCAGCTCCCATACAAAGCCATAAAATTTACCCAATGTCCTCCAGTGAAAGACTTTACAGGTACCCAGGCTGATGCCTGGTGCTTAATCCAGGCTGGCCTGGACTTGAAAAATTACGCAGGCAACTCTTCCAGCTGCTAATGAATACAATAGCAGATTATTTGTGGAGAGCAAAGCAAATTTTAAAATAAGAAAACCGACTTAGAGACTCTTCCTTTACATATCCAAGCGTAGAGCCTAATTTTAATAAAAGGTAAGAAAGAAATCGCTAACCATAGACTTTTTTATAAACACAAGGTAGCTGTTATAAGCCTCCTTTTTAAAAGATGTAAGAACATCCAGAAACACTGTGACTTTATATATCTCCCCAAATTAGCACGTGCCTGAAAGGCACGGCTGAGATTGTTCAGTACTGCAGAAAGCTGTCTGTAGCAATGAGCTTCCTTGCAGCATATAAACAGCTTAAATTCCTCTTTAAAAAAAATATAAAATATTTCAAACCTTAGCTCATCAAAACAATACACAGAGGAGCAGGCTACTCAATACCCACTGAGTGCTCTTGCACCTGGTGCAGAAGTGTTAACTTGGAGGGTCCCATTCCTAACTTCAGCTGTGTCTGACACTTTGGCTGCTGTGGGACTTGCATTTTCCTAAGGAGCCACTCCAGGCTACGAGCTATGGCTTGGCTCCTTTTCTATCATTTGGCAGATAAATTTTTGGTCTTATGGGCAACTAACGAGGAAATCTTCAGTCCCCGGTTCCTCTCCCACCCAAGGCAGGACAGCTGCACCTCTGCTTGAAGAGTGTTGTGTCGCTGCCACGCTGTTTAAAAGCCCCTCGCAAAAGTCTATCTGAATCATTTTTCTCACACTTGTTAGTCTCATCCATAGCCACAAATTGACCAGTCTTTCATTAGTCAAAACACTGAAGACCTCTGTGCAAAAGCTTCTATAAATAGGCCTCAGTACCAGAGAGGATGAATGGTGCAGACCTCACTGCCTCTAGCTAAAATTGTGGACTCTCAGCAAATCCGGATAACATGAAATCTGTATTTGAACGCTCTGGTTCATATTTTGTACCTGTATGTACTGCTGCATCGGGTGTCTTGCTGTGCTTTGTAGCAGAAAGCTCAAAAGCAACTAATGTTGAGTCGCTTAGATAACGAGTTTTTCATAATTGCAGTCAACTCCTTAACATTCCATTTCCTAACCTGCCACGCCAGCTGCTAAAAAAGCATTTCCATATCCAGATTAAACTGTGTGCCCTTCATTGTCATGAATGAAGCTATTCAAACTCATTATTGCAGCACAGAAGAGGCTAAAAGGGTCACCAAAAACCAGGAATGCAAATAGGCGTTGAAGACCGATGGGAATATCGTTGACCCCCTTAAAAAAAGCAATGGCTGCAAGTCGAGTCTTCATACAAGGCAGTGGCACAGCTCGTTTCCACACTGCTCGTGCAACCGCATGCAAAAGCCTGTGTTTGGGAAGCGCAGGGAAACACTTCTCCAGCTCCTGGTGGGACTTAGTTGGATGAGAGAACCAGACAGCAAGTATTTTCCACCTCCCCAAAGCGATGGGGTGGTTTGCTCTACTGAGACACCAGCGGTTTACAGTTCCCTTCCGCATCTTGGCTAATTCTGCAAACTGAGACTCGCTGATTTTTGGATACAGTGGCAGCATTACTGCGTTAAAGTGTTTGGAGAGCCAAGGAACTGCAGTCAGGATGATGTTTTATGATGTGCAAAAACTGAATATGTCATTCTTCAGCAGAAACTGAGTGCCCCTATCGCAATCCAGTAAA